GGTTGTTAACCAATGTCATAAAACAGTATGTGTACTGACTGTTTAATGAGAAACTATTTGTTCTGTAAACCTTCACCTAAAGAACAATTAAAAAAAAAGAAGAAGAAAAATTGTAGGTAATTTGTAGAGTTATTAGGATCTAAAGTCAGTGGTTGATGGTGTATTTAAAAGATGTTCTATTTATACGATTCTGCCCTATGGTTGGGTTGCATCTGTCATTTGTCCATTGTTTTACCATGTTCACATGTTTCTCATTAAAACAAAACAAAATAAACAAAACTGTCCTGTGTAGTAGCCAGGGCAAGTATCACTACTGGGTCCATTTTACAGAGAAAGAAACAGAGGGTCAGAAATGTTAACAGACATGTCTAAGATCACACAGCTAAGTTGTCTAACTAGAACTTCAGCTTAGTATGTGTGACTTCAAATCTTGTCCTCTTTTCACTGTAGTTTTTCAAGGCTGTGTCAGCTCATCTAGTAGTCATAAAATTAGGGGTGGTGTTGATATGGAGGTTCAGGCATCAGAGACTAAAAAACTATCTATATGAAATGACAAATGATCAACAATATGCAAAATTATGCAACATTGAGAGCAGAATAATATCTGTTATTTGTGTCCTCTGATTGTCTACTTTCCTGTTTCTCTCCAGAACGATGAAGATAAGCTGGACTGGAAGGATCGTTTCCCAGGCTACTTGATGAACTTTGCCTCCATCTTGTTCATGGTAATTTCCTTGAGTGACCAGCTGCCTGTGACTGCCTGCATATAGATCCTGTCCCTGTTGTTCTTCGTTTGAGTCGTGGAGTACAGTAGAGTCTTTTTGAAAGGCCCAGACAGTCAGCTTGTGCCTGAGTAAGCTAAAGGAGAGATCTGTGGTTCATACTTGAGTAGGAATAATAAAGTGGGAGCAGGAAATTCTTGGGAGCCAGATGGTTGAGACAGACAGCAGTAACTGAAGTGAGGAGACCTTAGGTAATGTGAAAATCAGAGGACAGAGTTATGGTCACTAAAACATCTGCCCCTGTTCATGGGAAGACTCCAAGCATTCAAGATTGGAGGTTCTGAGAAAAATTGTGTCCTTATAACTTAGAACACTCAGACTCAGGGGCAATAGACATTTCTAAGTAGGACCACAAACTAGTTAAAAAACCAAAGCTATTGCTGTCGAGTCAATTCCAACCCTTAGTGACCCTATAGGACAAAGTAGAACTACCCCATAGGGTTTCCAAGGAGCAGCTGGTGGATTTGAACTGCTGCTTTTGGTTATGGTTAACAGCCAAGCTCTTAAACACTGCACCACCCGGGGTTCGTACAGACTGGTTGAGGGGGTTGCTTATTCAAAACTTTGGGGTGAAATCATAATTTTCTGGACCTACTGGTCAGAGGAGGTCCCTGTTGTTGTTGTTAGGTGCCGTCAAGTTGGTTTTGACTCATAGCGATCCCATGTAACAGAGTAGAACTGCTCCATAGGGTTTTCTTGGCTGTAATCTCTACAGAAGCAGATTGCCAGATCTTTCTTCCATGGAGCCATTGGATGGGTTCGAACTGCCAACCTTTAAGTTAGTAACCTAGCACTTAACTGTTTGTGCCACCAGGGCTACTGTGAGGAGGTCCCTAGGTGGTGAAAATGGTTTGCACTGTACTGTTAACATAAAGGTTGGTGGTTCAAACTCACCTAGTGGTACCACAGAAGAAAGGTCTAGTGATCTGCTTCTATAAAGATTACAGCCAAGAAAACTTTATGGAGCAGTTCTACTCTAACACGAGATCACCATGAATTGGAATCAACTTGACGACAACTAACAACAACCGGCCAGAGGTAACTCTGACCCTGGCCTAAGGTTATTATTGTCATTGTGACCACTGAGGAAAGGGACTTCACCCTAGTCTTAGAAATTTTAACACTGAAAGAAGCTTAGACACCATCTAATTCAACTCCTCATTTTGCAGATGAAGTGCAGAATTGATGGGTGCCTTGCCAAAGCTTAGAAGTCTAAATTTGTTTTCTTCTTATTGTTTAATAAATGCAAGGCATGGAGAATTTATTCAAGAATATATGGTGACTTGCAGTGTGGTAAGCTAGAATGATATATAGTTTAATTTAGATTTAAAGCCTCCCACGTGTGTATTATTGCCTCAAGACCAATGGGAAATGAATTAATTTATTCAAGAAATATTTAGTGAGTGCCAACTGTGTGCTTGACAATATTCTTAGGAACTGGGGATACAGCAGAAAACAAAATAAAATAATCCCTTTCCTCAAGGAATTTACAGACAACGAATAAGTAAATAAATACATAAAGTAGACTTCCATCTCCAGTATCGGTAAGTTAGGGCATTTGGACCCTCCCATCTTACTGAAAATAACAAAAAATATTGAATAAATATGCATTTTCAATCTTCTCAAAGCCTTGAAGACCTGAGAAAATAGTAAGGAATACTAGCCTAAAATCTAAGGTAGAGTGGGAACCTAGGAAATAAATGCCTGAGTACTAATGTTGCTTTTACCTGGGGACATTTTCCCAACTAGGCAAACTTGGACTTTGGTTTTGGAAGTTTTAGGAGGACAAGAAAGATAGAAATCAGGGATTATGGCTGACTCTGGGTGGGGATTCTAACAGGAAGTCCTCACCACATTCAGTTGGAAATCCAAAGTGGTATATTCTCAGAATAAAAATGAAACATAAACCCACCCCCTCCACATTTAGGGGATTCTTAGTCAGAGCTCTCTAGAGAAACAGAATAGATAGATGGATAGGTAGGTAGGTAGATAGATAGATAGATAGATAGATAGATAGATAGACAGACAGACAAAAATTTACTTCAAGGGATTGGTTCACATGATTGTGAATAAGTTTAAGAACAAATTAGACACAGCTGAAGAGAGACCTGTGGACTGAAATACAACTTAAAAGAAACTATTAATAATGCAGCATAGGGAGGCAAAAGATGGAAACTATTGAAGAGAGGTTATGAGCTATGGAAAGAGAGAGATAAGATTTAACGTATGTTTAATTGCATTATTGGAAAGAGAATAGGTAGTGAATGAGATATAATGACATAATTTCCTAATCTGCTTCAGAATACAAATCCAAAGATTAAGGTGACTCAGGCAGTAAAAATGAAAAAGATGTCTACATCTAGATTCATTACAGTAAAGTTATAGAATATATAAGATGTAAGAAAAATCTCAAAAGTATCAAAAATAAAAAGACAGATTACCTTCAATGGAGAGACAGTTATATTGACTGTTAATTTCTCATAGCACATTGGAAATCAGAATATAGTAAAATGTTATCTTTATGTGCTAAAAGAAAATAATTTCTAACCCAGGATTCTACATCCAAGAAAAATATCATCTAGGAATGAGAATAAAATAAAGACATTTACACACTAAATAAAAAATCAAAACAGAGAATTTGCCACCAACTGAATCTCTCATTAAAGGAAATTATAAGAATGTACTTTAGAAATGATCCCACATGGAATGTCATAGATTTAGGAAGGACTAAAGATCAGTTAAAGTGGTAAATATATGGGGAAATCTATATGACCTTAACTTAGAAAACAATAATGATAATATCTCATGGGTTAAAAATAAGATAGATGTATACAACAATAACATATAAATTGAGTGGGCAATAAATGAATTTAAAGTGTCTTTATATTATCCACTTGATAAGTTGTAAAGGTTAAGAATGGTCAAGACACTCTTGAAGAGTGAGGGATAATTTGATCTACCAAATATAGACTTATTATGAAGCTATAAGTAGGACAATGTGTATTATTGTGAGAATAGATAATTAGAACAATTGAATAAAATATAAAACCAAGAATCAGATTCATGCAAGTGACACTGCATTTAAAAGTGGAGGAAAGGATAAACTTCCCAGTAAATGCTTCTGGGACTGTTGGGTGTCCATATAGAAAAAAATGAAACTGAACCCTACTTCACGTCATTCAAAAACATCAATTCTAGGTGTATTTTAAAGATTAAATGTGAAAGGCTACAGTAAAGTTTTAAAATACATATGAAAAAAATATATTCATGCCCTTGAGGTAGAGGAGGATTTCTTAAACAAGACATGAAAAGCACCATCATAATAAAATGGTAGGAGAAGCAGAGCCAACATGGCGCTATAGACAGAAGCACCGTGCCATCCCTGTGCAGCAAAGACTCAAAAAACTAAGTAAAACAGATACAAACATCAGTCTTGGAACCTTAAGTACCAAATGAAGAAATAAAGAAGTTGATCAAGCACTGACTGGGATAAGAAACTGACAGAAAACAGAGAATGAGGAGAGCTACGGAATGGAGGTCCCATATCAGCTAACATGGCTGAATTCGCCATCTTGGGCTACAGCCACCAAAGAACTAAGACAGACAGTACAGGAAGCAACTTCACGGAGCTCCCAGCAGAAGACAGAGCACCCAGTAACCAGGGATACATGCTTTCCACCCCTCATCTTTCTTCCCACTTCTCAGCCTCTGCTCCTTGCCAATGGGCCATAGTTGCTTGGCTGGTAAGACTCTAGCTCACTGCTGCTGGGGTCCGCACCACCACCACCAGCTGGCCCCCTTCTGTTTGTTTGTTTGTTTTTGGTTTGTATTTTTTATTGTTTTCTTATTTTTATTTTTTGGGTTTTTTTTGTTGCTTCTCTCACTCTCCCTTCCTTCTTTTCCTTTCTCCTGCCCAGCTAGTCCGGTTCACCATCCCCCTTTTTATTTCTTTTCTTATTTTTTCTATTTCTCCTTTCTCTCTCCTTTCCTTTCTCTCATGCACCCAGCCCTGTGCGCTGCCCCAGCCTTCTGGAAATGTCATTTTATTTATTGTTTGTTTTTTTAAATTTTTGTTGTTGTTATTGTTTCTTCTCTCTCTCCCCCTTCCTTCCTTTCCTTTCTCCCATCCACTCAGCCCCGTGCACCACCCCCAACTTCTTGGTGAGCTGTGCTATACTGTTTGGCTAGAGAGCCTATGGCACACGGCCTCCCTGGGTCTGCACCACCCCCACAGGCCAGCTCCCTCAGCACCATATTTTTTATTTTTCTTTATTTTTCCCCTTCTACTTTTCCTCCTCCCTCCCACCTAGGCCCAGCACTGCCTCTTCCCCTTCCTGAAGGGCCGTAGTGTGCCATCTGGCAAGAGAGACATCAGCTTGCCACCACCCCAATTCCACCCCACCTCCAAAGGCCGGTACCCCCACCACCATATTTTTTTTTTGTTCTTATTGTTGTTTTTATTATTTATTTATTTTTGTTTGTTTGATTGTTGGTTTCTTCTCTCTCTTTTCCTTCTTTCCTTTCTCCTACCCACCTAGCCCCGTGCACCACTCATGCTACTTCTTGACAGGCTGAGCCACACTGCTTGGCTATAGAGCCATCAGCATATGGCATTAGTGGTCTGCCCCTCCCCCATCCACTGAATCCTACCACACAGCTATTTATTTACTTTTTTCTTTTTATTTATTGTTTATTTTTACTTTTTTTACTTTTTCTTTTGCCTTTGTTTCTCTCTCTTCTTTTTCCCACACACTTAGCTCTGCACATCACATCCTCTCCTTTCCCTACTGCCTCTCAGCACCATGCACCAAGTGCCATGCCCCCAAAGGGTACTGACACAGTCCCCTGGACCTTGCCCTGCACTGCCCCCACCCTGGCCTGTCATCCTCAGTTAGTGCCACAAATTACCCATCCCTGCACCTCCACCCCCACTGGACCCACCC